AAAAACCCCTTTTAGCTCAAGGTCTGGATCCACCACTGATTAATATATGAAATTTTTGCATGAGTGCATGGATATGATATAAAAACATATTTGTTAACAGCTGCCAGATTCTTGCACATTTCAGCTGTCATTTTTTTCCAATATGTAGGTGTCTTAATGTATAGAAGGATACAAGTGACTGGGATGCTTTGAGATTTAAAATGGATTGATGTAGATCAAGGCTTTCAACTTACCTGAAAAAAAAAGGAAAACAAAATTAATAATAAATTATTATTGTAGTGGACCATTGAATTTTTGAATTTTATTACTGATGACAGCCTTGCACACTCCTTCTCCTCTGTTTAAAACATCTGTCCACCCCAACCCCATCCCTGTCATTACCCCCGCACCACTCCCCACCCGAACGGAAGGACTGTCGGATCTGCCGCCACGGAAGTGAGTTTATTTTCACTTTCTGTCGAGTCTGTTATGCTCTTGCGGCAGTTTCCAAAAATTCGTGTTGGTATTTTCACTTTTATAGCCGCTTCCTCAGCCGTTGTTCAAGCCAGTAAGTATAACACCCTCGTTATCACGTCGTAAGCATACATATTTCAAACTGTCGCGTTCGTTCGAACATCATAAAACACCAGCTTTTTTCAAACGTGACTAAACACATCACTGACCTTCCCAATATTGATCGAGGATTTTTAAACTGTTATTATAGTCATTGAAAATGTTGATTACACCCAGGGAAGCATTTAACGCTACGTTTAGCATGGTTTTTTTTACAAAGACTGAGGAACAGGTCGTTTGGTGAACAAAATAACTGTTTGAGTAGTGTTCCGATTTGGAATTCAACCAGGTTTTACATTCTAAAGAAGCTTAATTTTAAAATTATTCCCCTCTCAAATTTTATAAAAACTGTGTCACACTTTCGCTTTGTACAAAAACGGGACTGGAGAAGGAATTCTCTAATGTTTTCTCCTGTAACAGGAGTTGGCAAATAATCTTTGTTATTGGTTTGCATATAATTAAGCTTGATTAGTCGAAGGAAAATCCGGAAATATTTCTTTGATAAAGATATCCAATGTCAAATCAGAAAGTAATTAACAACTAGCATCAAAAAAGTAATATTCCTGTGGTGATTCTAATGAAAGCAAAAGTTGACAGGTTTGGTACAATTTTTGAGAGACTCTAATTGCTTAGTTTCTTGTATTTGTGGCAGACTTGTGATCAAAAGGTTTGGTTTGGCACTCCTGCCAGGTTATTGAGATTTGTCTCTTGACAAGACACTTCAACATGGCTTATTATGCCTTTCTCCAGCTTGGAGTATGAATGGGCACAACTTGATTGTTATGGAAACTTAGTGAATTATTTGGGGAAGGGGTAGGTTCTTGTAATGAATCAGCACCTTGTGGGGGAGGAGTAGTTACACTTCTAGTCACCTCATGTTACTGAGATGTGGTAAACCAAGGCAGTAACAGGCCTCTGGGAAATAAAAGATGTTACCT